AAGATATTTTTTGTTTCCGACCGTGTCTGCAGCCGGAACTGCAATGCACGATGCTCAAATTATCGGTCATTTGCTGGACTCATTCGTTGTCTCTTTACAATTACAACCGACCTGAACCATCCGACGTTGTTCCTTTCTGGGTTCCATACCTTGACCCTCCACTTACCCCCTGTTCGGGCCTCTGTACCCACTGTTAGTGGCCATATATCCCTAATTACGGGTACCAAGAGGGTCTTGGTAATGAGTATCCTACCGGAAACACCATAGCAAACACGAAGAACCATGTGAGGGACTGCATTGAATCGCTCTGGAAGGATGCCCACTAGCGTTTGCTGTTAGTGCTTCGCAAATGTGTTTGCGTGCGTCCGTCTTCTCTTCCGGGAAGAGAAAGTTGGGCTCCAATCCTAACTCCTAGCCAAAACCCAGTACAATGGCTGCATGGATGCGTAGTTAGCACAGAATTGAATTTCCTGCATATCTATGGAGGGGCAGACCCCTCAACTGCGTCATACTCGTACGTTTGCCAGTTCCAAAATTAGCACCTCACGTGCAGAGTTGAAAATTGCGTCGAGGCGTAGCCATTTGGGCTGAAGACCTCCTTCGGGAACAGAAGCTTGATCGAACCCACGGGTGTCACAGAGGTCTTGAAGCCATGCCTGCTTTGGTGGGCTACGCGGTCGCTGCTAGCCTGGCCGCTGCGGTGGCTGGTCAGCAGCAAGGCAACATGCCGGAGTACCACATCCCAATGCCGGTGCAATCTTGCAGAAAGTATGGCGGCTGCCACGTCGAACAAGCAGAAATCGTCATGGACATGCAGTGGCGGTGGATGCACAACAAGGATGGCTACAACAACTGCTTGCCTGGCGAATTCTGGGACACGGCCTTGTGCCCGGATCCAGCCACTTGCTCTAGGAATTGTGCCATGGAAGGGGTGGACCAAAATGGTTACACGCAGAATTATGGGGCCCATCAGGTCCAGAACGGCATCAAGCTAGACTGGCCCAAGGGCCCGCGAGTCTACATGCTTGACGGTCCGAATAAGTACAAGATGTTCAAGTTGAAGAATAAGGAGTTCACCTTTGATGTAGACCTTTCCACTCTTCCTTGCGGCCTGAATGCAGCTTTGTACTTCGTTGAGATGGACGAGTCCGGTGACCGCAGCGGCAGCAACCCGGGCGGTGCTAAGTACGGCACTGGCTATTGCGACGCCCAGTGCCCGCACATGAATTTCATCCGGGGCGAAGCCAACCTGATAGGCTGGGAGAAGGTGCTTTCGGCAGAGAACCCCGATGGCAAGATCATTGTGGGCGGACACCAGGGCAAGTATGGCTACTGCTGCGCTGAGCTGGACATTCTTGAGGCCAATCGTGATGCCGGGGTCTTCACAACCCACCCCTGCAACCGTGAGAAACAAGCGATTTGCGAGGGCGCAGATCAATGTGGCGACAAGGGCCAGGGAAAGCTTGGGTTCTGTGACAAGGATGGCTGCGGCTTCAGTGACCACCGCATGGGCAACCCGCAGTTCTGGGGTGCCGGCCAGGACTTTGCTGTGGACACATCAAAGCCCATGACGGTCGTCACACAATTCCTCACCCATGACGGTACCGACCATGGCGACCTCGTCGAAGTCCGCCGCTTCTACGTGCAGAACAATCAGGTCGTTCAGAACTCTAAGACCACTCTCCTGCCGAACGGCGGTGACTCTCTGACGGAGGCTATGTGCAATGAGCAGAACCAGGTCTTCAAGCAGAAGACGAACGGCCACAGGGATCTGGGTGGTCTGAAGGCCATGGGTGAGGCTATGGGTCGTGGAATGGTCTTGTCGATGTCTATCTGGGACTCTGACTTCGACCGCATGCTGTGGCTTGATGGCGAGAAGGCTCGCTTCGACGAGGACATGAGCCAGCCTGGCATCAAGCGTGGTCCTTGCTCCTTCCATTACGGCAGCCGTGAGGACAACCTGCGCCACGCTGAGCAGCATGGCCCCATGTCCGTCACCTTCACAAACATCAGATACGGCGACCTGGGTTCGACAGTCCCTCTGGTGTGAGAATGTGAAAATGTGAACGCACTCGGATGAGCCATCCAAACGAGAAGGCGATTCCTGTTTTGTAGCATGCGCTACGGCACGAACTAAGTGCCTACGACTTGTCTAGGGAACTTTTGCAGAATGCACTGTTAAACATGCTTTCTGGTAATTAGTGCACTCACTGCAGTGCTTGATTTGGCGCCAGGCACCTTCACACTTTGGCATCTCCCAGTTGCGGTCACATGTTTTAAGTACTTGTCGTGGCATGATTGTTTTGTTCTCTGGGTCCGATCCACAAGGAACTCCCCGTGACTTCTGCGTGGTAAGGGCCCAGCGGAGGAGTTGCAACACATTGCGAAGACCTGGGCTCAACTGGCAGCGCTGGCTATGGTCGCATTTGATTTTGCAATCGCGACCTCTTCACTGCAGGGTGCCCGGAGACTTACTGAGTGAACGCATGCCGGACAAGGTGGTCGTTGAACTGTGCCTCTGCTCCTCATGCGCAGAGCAGCGGCATGCCGAAAGCTGCAATCCTGACACCCTGACCCCAAATCTTGCTATGGACCTTGCGAATGTGTTTGTACTTGATGCAAAACTAGACAACCTATGCTTGCAGATGTGGTAAGATTTAGTCATCCCCCATGTCCCAGTCATCCGATACTTCAAGTTTTGCTGGCCTCTCTTCAGAGATAGTCGTCGTGGAGGTGATCATTCAGTTGCAATGTTTGCTGTTGGTCACCGCAATGCTCCAAGCTCTACACATCCTACGGTTCACCTTACACTACTCGTTTGTACCTTCTGTTTCTGGGCGCTGCTTTGGCATCTTTTGCACTTTGTTGCTAGTATGAGTTATGAGAACCCGACAAGCGAACAAAGAGGGATGGTTCTTAACTTGTAACCCTTCATGCAGTTTTAAGGGTTCCCTTCCTCCATTGAATGTTATGGGGGAACCCGCTGGGCCGTGTGTGCTACGGGACAGCTGTAGGACCTCTACGGGCCCAGCTTAGGTATCGCAAAGGAAAATAACCCTTCCCCAAGCACAGCTTTGAGCCGTGGTCATTCCTTGTAAAAGTTAAGGGGCTCCCAGATCTGAAGAACTCAGGTTTTGAGCCATGGTCATGGCCCACTTTACCCAAGCGTTGATCCTCGTGGCCGGTGCCTCTTTTGTTTGGGCCACCGGGGAGCAGTCATCCAGCTGCAGTTCGTCGGGGCTTGTGCAGAGACTCGGTCGCACCATGCAAGTTTCACAATGAACTAAATCACTTCTAAATCCCAAGCCCAGGTAAGGATTCAGTTGTTCACTGCGGCTACTGACGTGTGTATCTTCAAAACGACTGAGCATGCTCCAAACTTGCGCAACAAGCGTCTTCGGGTTTCTATTGCATGTTCAGAACTTCGAGTTTCAATATCTCAGACCCAGGAAGGCCTTCCATCGTGCCAAGCTCAACCACAAAGAGGAAGCTTCGACGATCCAGGCGCGGGGCCTTCAACCAATGGCACGTCTTGCTTCAGGATGCAAGTTGTCATGAGTTCAACATCTCAGCAGGGAAGCCGTGACTGTGAGGGTGGCAACGGTATAGAGAAGCCGCGATGACACGATGACACAACTGTCGCGTCCACTCAGTGAAGTTGATGCTTCTCAGATGGACTCAGGAGTGCCCATCACCTGTGCTTGGCGCACAGGCTTCAGAGCTGGCCGTGGAATTCCTTTTTGTTTTGGGTTGTTTCTATCCCGATCAGTGATCATGGATTCATTGGTCATGTGCACATTGCGGATCCCGCAATTGCACGTAGGCTCCGCTCCAGGAGGGTTCGAGAATCTGCTTAAAGATGTTTTGAGCTTGTTAGGGTCCTACCGTTCTACCGTAGCTAAGGCGTGCGAAGCAGATGCAAATGGCATGGGTTTCCCAAATGCTACGGATGCAGGAACACCAGATACCTGCTTCTTGTGGCACGAGACCAAGACGGGTACCTGGAAGCTCTATTGAAGCCCTGACAAGCTCTGGAGTGATCAAGCGTTGTTCTTGTAAGAGGTTGGTCATGGGATGAAGGAGGCAGAAGGTCTAGCACAATCACGTGACTCATGCGCTTGTACAGGGTGCGCAAAACTATGGAACACAGGGAGTGTTGTGTAGAAAGAAGCCTATACATCCCTTCCTGGGATGCTATTCTGGATGAGTTCAGTATGTGGTGCCTCGTTCCCATCCGAACCTGGTTTCAAAGGCAATCTCACGCTGGCAGATGTGAGTGATGCGGACGCGGTCTCCTCCGCTCTGATGGATGACCTGGTCTCCAACTGCACTAAGTGCGTGCATCCCCTCGGCGGTTGCAATTCGTCAACAACAGGTGTCTCGTCAAAATTCTGATATTCGTACAGCACTATCATTGGGGAAAGTCCCAAGCCCAGCCTCATGCAATACATGCAATGTCAGTCGTGGATTGGGATGTGGGGCTGCGCAGGTAAGGTTGTGAAAACAGCTCAGGTGTCTCTTGCTACAAGGCTGTGTATTCAGGGCAGCTGGCCTACTATGCCCAGTGCCACCTGAACTGCCCGCAGAACGAGTCATGGACATGCGCCATTTTTTGGGACACGCCCGACCAAGTCTCCCTCGCTGCGAACAGCGAGAAGTGGACCGCGTGGCTTGTCTCAGACTTCAGGTGTTGATAGCTAATGACTTTGTCAGAGAGCGGGGAAAGGAGGGAAGGGAGGGAAGGGAGGGAAGGGGGGAAGGGAGGGGAGGGGAGGGAAGGGAGGGAAGGGAGGGAAGGAGGGAAGGGAGGGAAGGGAGGGAAGGCAGGGAATGCACTGATAATGGGGTACCAGCCGGTCAGGTCAATCCAGCGATTGGGCAACCCAGGCACAAGCGAGCTGTGTTGGCAAAGGCAAAACGAACATGGGAGCACTGAGGGGCGAAACCTAAATTTGCAATGTCTAGGGTACAATGACAAGCGGGTGGCCTCAGCGAGCACAATGGCACCTTCGGGGAAGAACAATCAGGAGATCGGCGCAGAGCTGGCACCAACAGCAAGATCACAAGCAGGAGTGGGATAAAGGCACAAGGCACCAACAGCAGCAGGATGCACAAATGCGCAGTCCTCACCAGGGTCGCCGAAGGTCTCCGACTACCCCGCTGAAGGCCTCGACTGCACCATGGCATGGGCCAATCAGCCACTGCTCTCAAGGGAAGGCAGACACCACATGGACGGGGATCATGGCCAGAGCAGTTGAGCAAGCCGAGCTCAGTGTCGACCCCAAGGTTTGTCAGTGGGCCATACGGCAATTCCCAAATGCTGGCACCGATAGACCGATAGACCACAGACGAGCTTTGGGCACGGCACCCTCCCCATGCCCGTTGAGATGAAGAAAAGAAGAATAAGAAGAAGACAAAGACGCAACACCAGCAGGCGGGAAAGGGAGAGAGAGAGAGAGCAAGGAGGAATGCTAAAGATGAGGACGTTGCCTGTATCATGTGCCAAGCGCGCCTAGGCAGAATTCCCAGAAGCAGATCCGCTTCGTTGCCTCCCATCATGAGCATCTGAAGTCCAACGAGAGCCTGCTGGAAGACCCAGACGATGACGTACCATCCTTGTGGGAGGACTGTTAAGGGTCCAACTGTGTTGAAGGAACCGCATCCAAACATACAAGACTTCGGATAAGTTGTCAAAGTTGCATGAGCAGTTCAACCCTTGCACTCCATGTTCTTGTGTTTGGGAAGCATCCGTGACATCCTTCTCTACAACAAGCAACAGTCGTGTCTTCAGGAGCCTTTATCCGATCCGCCACAAGGCCGTTTTCCCGCAAGACCTTTTGACAGTGTGAGCTCATTCGAAGGGACGTCTTTTAGTCCAGGCCTGTACAGGTGGTCCTCTGTGCAAGTACATTACCGCAAACCCTCTCACACACGGGGTTTCAATGCTCTTCACTCACGTTCATGGGATCTAATCCATCCGTTGATGCTGACTGAGGTGTACCGCTTAGTAAATTTCTCCCATCCGCTCATACGAAGCGCAACATGGGGCAACTTCCAAAGGCGATGCGCGATCGCTGCTGTCCTATCGTAGCGGGGTCGGCGGGTCGTCCTGCTGGGGCAGCGTGACCGACGCAGCCATATGTGGTGTCTTTTATGCACATAGATGCTGCGATTTCTGTTGCCAGGGCCCGACCCTCGCTTTTTCAGAGAGGTCAGTTTGCGCCAACGCCGTTGTTCGCTCGAGTAGACTGCGTAGTCGGCCAAGGCGTGAAGAGCGTGGTGGATGGCGCGATCTGCGGCTGGGATACGGGCAAGACTCTCGGAGCACATCCGTCACCCCCACAAGCCCTGCTTGATCCCGCTACTGCTTGAGCTTACACTTTTCCAATCCCACCCCTGGCGCAGCATCTACAGTCTTGGCTCTTCAACGAATCCTCAAACACAGACACAGAGATCATTTCGACAGCCTGAGAAATCCCAAGTTGTACGTATCCTTATTCAAAACCCTGTCACGATTGCTTGTAGCCAAAACCGAAGCTTGGAATCTCTGTATTCGGAGGCTGAACCTGTCCTGTTACAGATGCCTCCGTTGAAAGTGCAGACCACCCGAGAATTTCGTTCAACTTCGATTGGGTTCCGTCCTAAGGCCGACTTTGTCTTCGGCCGGAGTTCATCTCAGACTCATATGTGCTACTGAGGAGTTGCAAGTACGGTCGGCGAAGACGGTGGAGCGGCTTCAAAGGATGCAACTGGAGCCTGCAACCGAAATCCTTTTGGGAATGTGGGGAGGTATGTTGGCAAGGCGAGGAGTACCTTAATGTAGCAGAAGACTCATAAGCGATGCTTTCAGGCCTTATTGGGCCTGACCCTTTCCCCCCCTCCCTTTGCGGTTTGAAATATAGTTGGGATTTTCGAGGCAACGTGACACAGCCATGTAGTTCTGATAGACGCTTAAAAGCGAGAGAATCCAGTCTTCTTCTCTTAGTCAATGCATGCCAGAAGTGTTCATACATAGGCCGGAGCCCTACACAAAAGAGCCATGCAAGCTCAGTCAAAGCTGGTCTCAAGTGGAGGTTTCCATGATCTTCAACGAATCTTTCGGCAGTCGTAAAGACCCTTGCTAGGGTGTTCGTCTGGCATGGGTCCGATTGGGACCCTCTCTTTGACCAGCCCCAGGTAACTTTTGGAAGAAGGCTAAAAGTTGCACAGCTGCTTCCTCATGTGACGTTGCGCTGGATGCGGCAAGCTGTTTGGAGGCTCTTGATTCTGTGGATTCGAAGGGTGCCGTGGGTGGGAGACGGGTGGGAGGAGGGCAACAAGCTTGGTGGTTTCGGGAGCGAGAAAGTAGTTTGAGCTTCTTGCTCTGCACAGCCTTGTGGCAGGAGATGATCGGAAGTGCCGTGCAGAGCGAGTATCGCAGCTATGCCAAGTTCATCACCAAGACAGGCTGCAACAGCGTGTCGTCCTGCAAGGATCGTGTCACCGGCGGCCTAGATGAGGCTTGGAATGTTGTCTACGATACCATGCAGAGCCTGGTTGAATTTGGAATAGTCGCTGGAAACAAGTACGTTTCAACCGTTTTTGTGCGAACAGCGTTTGTCATGTTCCCTTGTGCTGTCGGAAGCATCGTGCGCTGAGGAATGCCAACTCGGGCATAGGTTCCTTGATCGCACGGGGTACCGAGAAGTTCGGGGACTCCGCCAAAGTTCTTATGGCTAATGCCAAGAAGAACACGGGGACGCTCAAGCAAGGCCTGAACCTGGGACGGCAATAGCCCGACATGCAGAAAGTCCACAGTGGAAGCTCTTGAGAAGTTTGCGTTCCTGTTATATACTACATCGTGTCCAGTGATTTTGGGCTTTCGATTTGATTCTCTGGGTCCATGTCGTGAACCTGGACCCCTTTTCGTGAACGCCCGTTTGGTCTCAAGTTCCTCCAGCAAGCGTGAGAATCTCAGCGACACCAAGGACAACAGCTACAAGCGAGGTACGAAGCTTCTTTAACGGTGTGGTCGGCCAGTTTCAAAAGCACGACCTGGGCCAGGTGGACCTCTAAGCGGGAAACGGGTAGTTTATGTAAGGGAGCGAGAAAACCAAGCTGGGGTAGGTCGCTGAGCCATCACAGGGGACTAGCAGCTCCCCCGCCCCCCCAAGCCAGAAGCAGCGCTCAGGTCTGCACGCCGTCGGGTGTGGGATTCTGGTATTTGGTACCTACGGACTGCGGCTTCTTCTCGAAGTTCGGAAACGTGTTCAACAGCCCTTCAGCCGCCCAGAGCAACTGGAACGAGGCCGTGGATCGCCTCCAGGAGGGCCGCCGACAGGGGTGGGGCGGTTGGTGATCTCTCTTTGCCTACAAGAACAAGAGTGACTTCTGTCCTAAGCCCTCCTCGCTCTAAAGTCATCTACAGTCTAGAGTATGTTCAAGTCCCAAAACTCTCACAGCACATGATAGGGGCCATCTTGCCCTCGACGGGGCACTGGAATGGGGTAGTCGATCAAGAAGGCAGCTCCTCTCAAGAAAGTCCCCTGCCCTGACTGTAGATTCACAGGCGTTCATCATGCAGTATTCGCAGACATGGGAGATATTCTACTGGAGGATTGAGTACGAAAGTATTGTCATCTAGACATGCTGATTGGAGCTCGACACCAAGCTGTCGTACAGCAGGTGGCAGTTTCTTGGTAGGATTGGAGATGCTACTCCATAGTGCAACCCCGCTGCAAGGAGTGCGTGATGAAGACTGGCGCTTTTTCTTTTCCCACTCCCTTTCTGGACTTCCGTGTCAATTCTTTTTGCCTTCCGACTGTGGCCTTTCGGCAGCACTTCTTCAAGTAGCAGGCTTTTCTCCTTACCAGGCGTCTTAGGAAAAGGTCAGCATTCCGCTGGGCAGGCACATTTTTGTTACACTGCTCCTTTTCGCTGCCATGGAAGGTTCAGACTCCCATCGAGTACATCCTCGGCGTGTTCAAATTTGCCACAAACACCGGCGCCAGCCTCATCAGCCACTTCGAAACGATTGCCGCAAAGATCCAAGGTGTCTTGCTTGAAAGGATGTCGACTATACCTCCTTTGACATCGCACAATATTACTGGTGGTGAAAAGTAACCATGCCTATGCGAAGTTGTGCGGAGTAGCTCACTGTTGTTCGTTAAAATTGTGGAGGGCTTCAGGAGCTGCTCCGAGGAATGCACGGCGTAGGGGATATCTTTGGCATGATGCTTCGCAGGATTTGAAGGTGTGAGACTTCCAGATGAAGAATTTGTCTGCGACGGTTTGCCATTATCAGATTTTGTTGGCTGTTATCGTGGTTTATATGAGCAGCCACTTCTTCTTCTTCTTCTTCTTTATGTTCTTTTGCTTCTTCGTTTCATCTTCTCTTCTTTTCTTCTTCTGAAAACCACTGACGCTCCTGTTTTTGTTTGGTGTTCTTGATCACGAGGACTTACCGTCCTGACCTTTGTGTTCAGCCCTTTCCTGCCACGCTGAGCAGATCCAAGGTCTCATCAGCTCTTCAGGATTGAATTTCAATCAGACGCTAGGAGGGAATGAGCTTGACCTGCAGTTGTCATGGTCTGTGAAGAAATCCCTGTCAAGACGGCTAGGTGCAGGGTGTCGTGGGCTGATCCAGCTTTCATCAACATAGAGTCTGAAGCGCCGAAGCCAACCGCGTTTTGCGACCAATAGATCTTGAACCCCAACCCCGTACCACGACGAAGGGCGAAGAAAGCTTCTCTTTCCCCCGCCTCCGAAAGATTCCGGAGGCGAAGCATCCTTAATTACCTGATCCCACATTGGTTAGCTTGAGGGTGGGCCTGATCGAAGTAAAAGTGTTCTTCTGTTTTTTGTGGAGTTGCTGTGGTCTGTGCAGGCAGAGTGGCCTACGCGCAAACTTGTTGTAAACTGTTTGATGATGCCCGTGGCTTCCTTATCTTGCAGTAGCCCACGGGCCTCTGGCCGAATTGTTCAAAGCGGTGCTTTGTCCGTTCGAGACCCGAAGCGTCAGCTTAGGATTGGCAGGCAGGTCAGAGAGCAGCGGCAGCTGGCACTGGCCGCTTCAAGCACTGCTGTTGCTTGACAAGACCCGGACAAGATGAGCATTGTTGGGGGTTTAGGGCTACAGCGAAGACAGTCGCAGAACCATATCATAAGTGGGGGGAGCGACGACTTCACTTTGTGCAAGTGGAACCTCAGCAGTTGAATGTGATGTGAGCTTTCCAATCAGGACCAGCTGCTACATAGACCTTCAGGGAGGTTCAGCAAGAATCCAAGCAAAGATCCGGAGCCTATAAAAAGCGTGCCCCTATCATATAAGATCGGGTCCCTTGGGTAAGGAGAGTATGTAAGTTTAGGTGTTTTTCAGGGAGAGGCTATGTAAGATCAGGTCGTGTGGGTAAGGAGAGTACGTAACCTTTGGTGTTTTTCAGGGAGAGGCTTCGTAAGAGCAGGCTGCCTGACTTCTAAGTTCTGGTGTTTTTTGGCAGATGCTGCATGGGTCTCCTGCACAGGTTTGTGCGGGCTTCAACACGGGCCTCCTACGGGGACCCTTGGCAACTTGCGGGCTGCTTACGTGCCACTTACGTGCCACTTACCACTTACGCGCCACTTACGGCCACTTACGTGCCGCTTACATGCCACTTACATGCCGCTTACATGCCGCTCAGGCCACTTGCGAACTTACGGGCCCCTCATGGGCCTTCGCGCCACTTGCAAGCCTATATAGAGCCATTCGCGAGCCACTTACGGGCCTCTGGCTGCTTCGAGCCTTCTGCGGACCTGGTCTTGGAGTTCGAGCGACGAGAGCTTGCTTGACGAATGCTGCACCCGTTCGACTGACACAAAAACGGGGCCCTGACAAACCCTGGATCGGGTGGAATTCTCACGAGAGCTTACTCAAAGACAGGGTCGACGCAAAAACATGCTTACACAGGATAGCCAAGCCTCAGCCCTTTTTTGACCTTACAAGCTTCTCATTTGCTCTTCCCCGAGACATCCCCTCACATGTGCCTCACATGCCACTCGCCAGCCACTCACCAACCCAACCGCAACCTCTTATATGATAGGGGCACGCATTTTATAGGCACCTGATCATCCCCTTGAAAGAAAGCCCCCTCATGAAGACTAGCTGTTTGTATTTGCAGTATGCCTATCTTTGTCACTCCAACTGCATGGCAAGACTTGTTGCCATTTCCTAGGCATCGACTCTTGTGCTCCGGGTTTTTTTGGCTCGTTCGGAGTCCGGAGGGTAAGAGCTCCTTTGCGTCAGTTCACAAATAACGATGCGCTTGCTTTGTTCAAGCGTAAGGGCCCCTCGCTTCAGGCGGAATCCTCGACCACTCCATGGCCTCGCTGTGCGTGTGAGGCAAAGGGCCATCCTACCAATCCAGCACCTGCCCTGAGTCCATCATGTTTTCTTTCCGAGAGAGAGAGAGAGAGTGTACCTCGGCATTTTGTCGGTGTTTTTTTTCATAGGTCTCTTGCCCTCGTTTTTGTGGGGCGGGCAAGAGAGCGAGTGGTAGTCGAACTTGTCAGTCTGCTCTCTGTTGGCTTCATATGTCGGCTAGGGGGTGGGTGTTGGAGGGGGCGAGGGGATTAGCGTCGGGTTACCTGCTTCATGCTCCCCAAACACACACGGCCCGAGGCCTCGGCGGATTACATAGGCGGTATGAGGATTGCATCCGGTTTTGGGGCGAAGGTTGGTAGGGTAAAGTCGGAAGAGCTTCCCAGAACTGGCATAGGTTATGTCCTGAAAAAACCCTTTGCCATCTTATGTTCTTGATCCCGCTGGACGTAAGGGCTGCGACTTGTCGTCTACATGCAGCTGCAACGGCATTGTGCGATATGGGTTCGCTGACAAATGGCTGCTGAGGGAGGTTACAGGAAGCGTACAGTGCTCGAACTCGGTCTTTGGTGATCCCTACTCGGGCCAGGCCAAAGAGTGCCAGTGCGTGGACTTCTCAGAGATTCCTTGGTCTCGCTGTGCATGTCAAGAAAAGGGCCATCCGACCAACCCAGACTGCCTGTTGTCGAATACATGCCAATGCGACGGCATGGTGCGTTTTGGATATGGTGACAAGTGGTACATGCAGCCTGTGTCAGGAAGCACAAGTTGCTCCGGCTCTATTTTTGGCGATCCATACCCAGGCCAAGGAAAGGAGTGTCATTGCATGAACAGAAATGCCGCCCAGGACAAACTGTCGAACACATTTGGCTTGCAAGTCGTTGCTTGCTTTGACTGGTCGTTCGTGGCGTTCACCGTCTCTGTGTGCGTGGGCCTCCTTTTCGGCGAAAAGGATGGAAACCCGGTCATTCCGAACCTGGTCATGGACATCGAGTTTGGTTCCACCTCCTTTGTGCAACAAGCCCTAGAGGCAGCGGCTCCTGAAACCGGCTTTTCGCTCCTGTTCGAGTACAAGGAGGACCATTCGTGTCTAGGAACTTTCACGTCATGTTATGAACTGCGTGTGCTTCTGTAGCAATGAAGCTCAGGCAGCCGTCGAAGTGCTTTGGTTGATCGTGTCAAGGGCTTGACAGCTTCCATTAGCTGTGCTACCCGATCCGGGGCCTTGAGGCAGTTCTAGTTCATTCCAGCTAGTTCCATGCTCATCTACGGATAGACTGCGCAATCTCGGCTGTAGCCGCGCTTGCTTGCGCCTGGTGTCAGGAGTACCCTGCCTTCCTGCCGGCGAGCGAACCTCGCTGGGGAGTCTCCGCCTCCGTGGACGTGTCCCGGCCTGCTGGAAGGTATGCCTTGCCCTTCCATGTTGTGATGCAAAGAATTCCGAAGGGGTTTGGCACTCTGCGAGACTGGTTAGAAGAAACAAAGAGTGACTCACTTTTTCACAAGGAGACCACTCAACTCTAAGGTGCAGTTGGATGTCGAACTTGAAGGCCGGGGTTGCAGGGTAGCTGAGACAGGGCCTGAGATTGATTCTCGATGCCTTCAAGCACGAACGTACATGAGTTTGAAGGACGTACTCGTCATGTTTCGTCAGATTGTGCTGTTACGGCGTGTGAAGAGGATTGAGCAATTAAGCAGCATGCCAGGCCAGGACAGGAGGGGGTCGGTGAGGCAAGAGGGAGGTATAAACATCTCGGAGTCTTCCGGCCCGATTCGACCCCAAGAAGGAGGAAATGGCCTTAGCAAGCACCGTCACTCACTAGATGCAGAAAGCACATCATGGCATATCATAGCAGCTCTTCAGCGCCAACTCTTGCTTCAAGCCCTTGCAGGCCTGGCCGAAGTGGGAGCCGGCGTGGGTGTGTCCTTCTTGCCAGACCCAAATGCGGCGAAAGGACCTCTTGGGCTTCAGGCTACAATACGATACGATGCGTTTTCTTCTCCTTAGTTTGGTTCTGCTTGCATAGATGTACCATAGACTACAGCCGATAGCTGCCAGGATACGTTCTGACGCTCGCCCTTGGCCAAGACGAGGCTGGGGAGGAGGCGAATCAGGCGAAGCCAGCGACCCTGCTGGACCGAATGCGAAGCGATGCCCAGGATGCCAGGACGCGAGCCCGCCAGGACCCGGCCACGGCAGAGCATGCAGAGACCGCTGCGCTCCTGGCCGCTGTCAGCCACATGGCCAGCTCCTCTGACTTCGATCGGATGTTGCAGAGAGCCGTGCCGAAATCCGAGCAGCTCGTTCAAGCCATGGCCTCTGCCGCCCGGAACGTCCCGCCAAAACTGGACGTTTCAGTTTCATCTGGATTGGCTTTCTCGTTTTGCCTCACGCCTCCGAAATGTCAGGGGCAGTGAAGCCGACGGCAGCTCCAGCAAAAGAAGCCCCGCCAAACTCACTGTCGAGTTATAGAAAGTATTGGGCCTGTTAAGCCACTTTTAAGACTGAGATGGGCTGAGGGATTCGCAATGCAGCCCGCCCTGGCGGGGAGCATGTGCGGAGGCAGCCGCGGAGCAAGGGCTAAGGGGCTACGTGGCGAAGTTTGGTCATACGAGCGACGCAGAAGGCTAAGTCTGTGTTCCCCCATTCTCCCACCTTGCAAGACGTGCCTCGCAGACCCTTTTGTTCCCTGAATTCTTCTAACGTTGGTCAGGGCCGTGAGGGATCTGGACCGTGAAACCTTGGTTGAATCAGTTTGCGACACCGCTGCGTTCCTGGTCACTCAAACATCCTCAGTAGGTGCAAAGTGATTGTCATGTGCTGTCCACTTGCAACCAACAGTTCCTTTCATGCATGGACCACTGCCGCGGCAATGACGCCCTGTCAGCCATCACTAGCCCGACCCCACCCCAAGCTTAGTGGAGCACTCGTTTTTGCATAGTGAGCTTGATGCAATGTTCTGCACGTAGGCTGTAGTAGCACAGCAGTCAGCGACTGTCGCTCTTGTGATGTGCGTGCAGCTGGTTTTTCTGGCACAATGGGGCCAGCAATGTCTCCAAGCGGCACAACTTCAGGAGCTGAGCGGAGTTTTTCGACGGTTTCCATGTGATCATATATGATCCCACACTAAGTGTGGGCCTACCTGTCAACCCCAGATGTAGCCTGTTGCAGCCTTGACTGGTGTATGGCGCAAGTGCAACTTCCTATCGTATTTCGGAGCCTGCCAATAGAATGCAAAGGTATGCCATGGACTTTGCGGCCTGGCGGGTTGCCGTGGACTGCGATTGGAGGGTGCTGGATGTTGCTCCACAGGAGCTGTGCATGGAGCGTGAGGCCAGGACCTCGAATACTTTTTCCTGGTTTTGGCGGTCAATTCCAGGGTCAGTGTAGCAGAACAGAAGGGGCAGCTGTGTTGACCGTCGTCCTTTGCTGGAATTTCGCGCGCCGTGAGGTCATGCTATCTGCAGTCATCCAGGCAGGCCGCGCTTTGAGCCACGCAAGCGAGGACCGGGAATGCTGGAGCTTAGAGTCTCGGACGCTGCATACATCGCCCCTTCGTCGTCTTACACCCCACACATCAGGGTCGTTGATGTCATAGTGTGAACCTCTGCAACATTGATTGGAGCCCAGAGGTGAAAATACTAGTTTAAGGGGTAAATGCTTTCCTAAGACGAAGGAGCTGCGTGGCGACAGAGCCATAGCCCTTGCAGCTCTCCGTGGCGATGCCACTGCGTGGCTTGGCAGCCGCGAGCATCTGGGAGTTTAGATTGTGTTGTGGCGCTTGTGCCGGCTTTGTAGAGATTTACTTTTTCGCACTTTGCATCGGCTCTAAAGTTTCAACATCTCTCACGCCCAACATCTTCCCATCTCGACTCGGTCTCGGGACCTTCCTCAATTCTGCATCACTGCGGGCAATGCAGCAGAAGCATGACTCGTGAAGCGGTTGCTTTTTGCCGTAAGATACCAAAGAGCAGACTCGGCAACACGGCGAGGGCTTGATGGTTGCTTGGGGCCTTGTTTACCGAGCCCTAAACCCTAAACCCTAAACCCCAAACCCTAAACCCTAAACCTTAGACCCCGTATAGAGAATGAAGCTGAGCTGTCGTGTCGGTGCCTTCACAGACAGCTCCAAGAATCGCCAAGGCCAACACCAGGGCTTAGGGTTTTGGCTTCGTGGTCCTGTGTTGAGAGGGCGCGGTTGGTTCCAGGGGGGCCCCCAACTTCCCTAAATCAAGCATATTGAACCCAAACCCGAAACCCCAAACCCTGAGCCTGTCCGTTCGACCTTTTGCAGTCTGGAGTTTGTCTCGACGCAGCTGGCACTGGTGACTTAGTTGCAACTGGCTTTGCGGGTGGCTTGATTGGGTCAGCGATGGTCAGCCATGGTTCTGGGGTGCATGGGCGAAGCTTATGGCAGCATACGTGAAGATTCGCACCTGAAAAGGTTAAGTTGCGCGGTAAAGCTCCCAAGCCTTGAACCTTGGCCTTAGAATGGATTTCAGGACACCACCTTCATCCTCGAGGCTGGCGCTTTTCTCCGGACTCCCCGAGTGAGAGTGCTAGCCGTGCTCCGTGCGCTTCTGAAGCCAATGCTCAACGCTCCCAGGGCTTGCTTTGGCTGCCTTTGGCGCTCGACTCGTCACACGCTCAAAGCCAGAAACAAGGCATGACGCCAACTCACGGGCATTGCATATGGCGCTTTGAAGTGGAACAGTGCGTGAAACCTTGGCTTGCACGCGGGAACAGGAAGAACAAAGACCAAACAGGGCAGAGTTTGTCGAGAGCATAGCTGTTTTTCTGCTGGTTGAGTGTTTTGAACAAAATGTATGGAAAACCCAAGTTTGCTAGCCACTTGTAATGGCTCCCTGCAAAAAGGACGCATGCGTTGGCAGCACGGATGCAATCATTGTTCGGCCATGTATTCGCACTTACGATGGATTCGCTGGTAGCACGGACTCAAAATCATCGTTCGGGCATGTCGCGCTGGCGGCGTGGGTTCACCGTGGCAGCACGGATGTTATCATCGTTCAGCTATGCATGCGCTGGCTTTATAGCTAGTAGCACGGACGTAGTCATCGTTAGGCAAGAGCATCCGCAATCGTTCGCACACGTACGATAGATTCGCTATTGACACGGACAAAATGTTGATGGTCCAACTCCATACCCTAACGGTCCCGAAGTCGCTCGAGCCTCCGGCGTCCCGAGACACGTCCTCGTTTCGAGGGTCCGCAGGTCAAAGGCCCCCTAGAAGAAGGGACCTCGGGTGGCTGGGGTTGCCGACATTCTGCGAGGGATCGCAAGTTGCCAAAAATGCTTCAGGAGGTCTCTAGACAAACTTGAGTTCCTCGGGTCCCCATGCCAGACAGGGTGGCAGGTTTGAGGGGGTCCCCACCTGGAAAAGGGGATGCGCTTTTTCCGAGGCGGGTGGGGTATGTCAAGAATTGCACCCCTAAACGGCCCCTAAGCTCAGAGCCGTGCATTGGCACGGAAACACACACGATCCGGTCCTTCGAGATCATCCCACTATGACCCCACCATATGCAGCCAACGACCCTCTCAAAAGAGCTTGCAAGAGAACTCACCAAAACGGACCTGAACAGCAAGTAACGGTCTGAACGATTCTGAACCCCGAAAGCTGCATCCCACTGATCCTTGGACACTGGAAGACTGGAAGCAGGCCGCTGCACAGAACCTGCGCGTGCTCGAGGCGCTGGGAATCCAAAGTTGGGAGTCGCTGAGTTTGTTTTGGTTTCAGGGATTTTCTTGGGGCACTCAGAGCTTCGGTGGGGTTAAGAGAGGGAAGGGAGCAGGCCGTAGAGAACTGTTGCCCTGAACTGGACAGCCACCCTAACATCAGAAGAACGACCCCAATCATATTCTGAAGAAGCCGCGGGCATCGGAGCTTCCCAATCTTAGCTGGGGCAGAACCACACTGCGAGGTTTGCGATGTCGAGCACCGTGAGGATAGGGAGCTGATACGTGCGGCGATCAAGCAGCTGCTCGGTGCACGGTTTGTGATGTAGAGCTATTGGCACAGCATTGTCTTTTCGGGATGTCTCTTTTGTTTGAAAGTTGAAGTGTACGGGGCCACCTTGATTCAGCTGTGTTCTGTGACAGCAACAGGCTACCAAGACTTCCCCCATAAGTCATACGTCCCCTTACAAAATGGGCAAAGCAGCATTCACTCCAGGAATTGGAACGCCCTCCGCTACGCATCGCCCTTCCTCCGTTGCGATGCCGACGTTTGCCTCGAGGCCGTGCAGCAGCGACCCGGCTGGTGAACCATGGTGAACCCTAGGTAATCCTATAACCCGAAGTGGGGGTTTACGAGCAGGGGGTACCCCTTTTAAGGGGGGTCCCTTTAAGGGGATCCTACTCTATTTGGGGAATAAAAGGGTACCCCAGTTCTGGGAATGCCCAGCAACGATAAACGTGGCAGGCTCGACTAGACAGCGGAGGCCCTTGCAAAAGTTTAATGCGGGGGGGGGGGGGGGGGGGCGTTCCTTTCTCTCTGTCTCTCTTTCTTCCTTTCTCTCTTACTGCGAGAGCAACAATGCAGGCTACCACCAAACAATAACTCAACCCTAAGACCCTAGAAAATCACCTTAAGAATCCAGGCTGCCCTAAGAATCCAGGATACTCTAAAAATCCACGCTACAGCCAACTAAACACTGAACCCTAAGAATGCGGACTACTCTACGACTCCAGGCTACCCTCTTTCTTTCAACTTTCAACTTTCAACTCCTACTCTTGCTCCTGCCTGTTCCTTTCACGTCTTATTAACCATGCATCGTGTTTGGCAGGCATGGGTGTGTGCATGTATCATTCCTCATTGCTGCTGCATGCCATTTTGGTTCGAGTGTGACCCAAAACGGCAGGCAGCTGTTGATTTTGGGAGTGGGAGTGACCCGAAATTCTGTGAGAGTGACTCACTTTACTGAGAGAGTCTCAGTATTTCTTCTAGCAGGAGTGACCTGCTTGGGGCATGGAACATGAAGCTCCGCATACAGTCTGCGCCTTTCACACAGATTGCCAGGTACTTCACCCGGCAGCGGCCGCGGAGTTTCGGCGCCTCATCAACGAGAGAGCTTCGAGGGGTGACCTCCAGGATGCAGCTTTCTTGTGGGCTTCGGCAGTGGAAATCCAGCATTACCCACCTTTGGAAACCGATGTTCCACGAGTCCCCGAACTCCCAGGTTTGTTGCCGCCCGTCCGTCAAGTGCCATTCCAATTCCCATATGTTGCAGTCGAGTTCAATGCGGGCGTTCTGGTCAAAGATGGCCGTTCGGCGGCTGGAGCCTGGGAAGATTTTCACCGCCGCGGACACCGCTTGGGGATTGCAGAGGTTCTGTGCCTGCAATCAGGGCTTTTGGTGGAAGACATCTTGCCCCCCAATGCGGCCAAGCTTATCAAAGTTGTTCAAACACAGACCGGCGACGGGGAGTGGCGGGCCTGGAGAAGTTGGCATGGAGGGCAGCGCAGGTGGAGGGACCCCTGCTGGGAGCCCGTTGCCAGTCGGGAAGAAGGCCGAGCCGACGAGATGGCAAGGAGCGGGAGATCTTTGTGGCATTGGCTCGGTGCAGTCGAGGCCGGATATTCGCCCCTCTTCAGTCCATGTGCCTCGTGCGGTTTGCCAGCCCCTTTCTTGTGCAGGCGTTGTCAAGCTGTTGTCTGCAAAGACTGTATCTCCGAATGCCGGCTCTGCTCACAGTAAGTCCGAAGTAGCAGGAGCAGCCCTGGCAGCAGCGCTCGCCAGCCAGATGGCGGGCATTTATGCTCTCCAAGCAATGGAAGACCCTTCCGCCCAGGGAGAGACCCTGGGAGAGCCGGAGGCTGAGACGGTGGTGGACCGCATTGCCGCGCGGTCGGTCAGTCAGTACCGTGTGCGCTACGGGCTGGAAGATGACCTGGACTTCTCCTACGCCTTCACCAGCGGAGGGCATGCGGTCGCAGATGCGTGGGCAGAAGTCTGCAATGACCGCGAGGATGGCGCAGCCCTCGGCTTTGTGCACCAGGCAGTGGACGCGGCGGCAGCTCGACCCGCTGTGCGCGCGGCCGTAGTCAAGAAGCTCCAGCTGGGTCGCCGGGCAAAGGGCCTCTGATGCATCGGTGCCGGACAGTGAGGCAGCGAATGAGCTAGCGCAGTTCATGGAGGCAGCAGGGGCGCACGAGCCTGGAGATCGGACCGAGCGGCGCTCGGCAGACTGGAAGAACCTCCTCTCTTCCTTGGCGGAGCGCAAGGTGAAGGAGGCGGAGCGTGCGACAGTGGATGGCTGCCTTAGGTCCCTGCGTGAGCTCCTCCACTTTCAGTTGCTCCGAGGTCGAGCCGGTGGCCTGGCGGATGTGGACAAGATCGACCTCTTTGCCTTCCTGGAGCAAGGTACTAAGGCCCCCGTCCGTGCATTGAATGGGCTCAGGCGGTTCAGCAAGCATGCTTCCCTCGGCTGGGCGCTGGCAGATTTGCAACCCTCGAGGCCAGTGCACGCTGGGAAGGAGGGACCTTCCCAGGCAGCGGTGGCGGAGCCTATCATGCTGAGCGAGCTGGAGGCTCGGGTGATGGATCTATGGCAGTTTGGTGATCCACGGTGGAATTGCCTCCTCGGCAACTGGATCATCTTCGCTGGTTGCGTGCGCCACAAGCACTTGGAGAGATCCGTGCCGATTTCGATCACCGGATCTACTGTGCACTTTTGGTGTCAGAAAGGAAAACAGGCTCACAACAGGAACGGCTTTGCCTGGGCGGTGCCATCGCACTTTATGTCAGGGTGGCCGTGGGCCGAGTACTGGTTGGATTCGTTCAAAGGGCTGCCGCCGAGCAAGCAGCTCAAGTGTGGCGTTTGCTTTGATGCCCACGGGAACCCGTGGGCAATCCACGAAGTCACCAAAATGGCCCAAGACGAATTCCTTGGGGTCGAACCCCCTGTCACCACTTACAGCTGGAGGAGAGTGGCGCCATCAGTGGGACTGCTGTTGCAGCTGGATGAGCAGTCCATGTTGTCGCTATCCGACTGGCAGGACCGTAGCAAGGTGCAAGGTTCGGCGGCGGCGATGCCACTGCACTATGCGGGCACCAAATATGGGTTGTCAGTGCGGAACAAGCACCTGATCTTGGCAACGGCTTCAAGATGCTTGGATTTTGCATCTTGGGACGCAGTTTCCCCGCAGCTTCTTGTCCAGGACGACCCGGTGTTGCGCAATATGGTGGCAGAGAAGGTGCGCCTGGATGGGGACACCGTCTGGCAGGCGCCTGCGAGCTTCCCAGGCCCTGTTCGGAAGAAGGCTTTCCAAACCACAGCACTCCACAACCGAAGGCAGATGAGGGCGGCTACCGCAGCGGGAGGGACCCGCAGCGCGGAGGCGGAGCCTACTATGCCAGCGCAAGCGAATGGCAGGGTGCTTTCAGCTTTCCTGAGGAACGGGAGCAGGTTGTGCCCGAACTTTCAGCTGGGCCGATGCAGGGACGATGACTGCGTGCTGCAGCATCAGTGCGCCGCTGTCCTGCGGTCAAGTCGCGTGTGCGGAGGCAGACACGCAGGGAAGGACTGCCGCGACAAGCGGCGCATGAAGCCTGAGGATGTGCCACGCCCAGTCCCACCGCCCGCCAAGGCGCCTACACTGCCAGCGCCGTCGGCCGCAGTTCGCTTGATTCCGGCCTCTGAAGTGCGGCGAGAAGAGCCGAGCTCGAGCGACAGGCGCGAGAGTCCATCGGCGAGCTCCAGCGGAGTTCCGGAGCCGCGGTATCCGCCGTCTGCAGCAGCCCGGAAGCGCAATGCAGCAGCCATGGAAGGCCGGGAAGAGGTACCGGTGAAGCCTATGCCTCGGGTGCCCAAGGCGGAGATCAAGGTCAAGAAGGCGCCGGCTGGCTTCGCGGTTAAGTCAAAGTCGGCACAGCCGGTGCGGCCACCTCCGAAGGCTATGCCTCGTGTCAAATCAGGGCCAGAAGCCGCAGGAGCGAAGCCGAAGAGCAGACCGGCATCGGTGAGGGACACCGACGAGAGCTTCTTTGATCGGCTGGCGGAGCGCAGCCTAGCTTTGGGAGTCACGAGGGAGGCCTTGCAGATTCCGACCACCGTCTACCAGAGTCGCGCAGGAGGTCGCTTGCTGTTGTCTGCCCTCCCAACGCAGGACAATCGGGCCAACTTTCCGGTGGTGGACCTCCAGGTCACAGCTATGGAAAAGTCAGCGCCCGAGGCAAGGCATCAACTTGCCCAACGCGCTGGTTCGCCAGTTCAATGTGACCTCGTCGTATGGGCGTGACGAAGCCTTCGCAGAGCTCTTCCCCCTCATCAAGCATACGCTGTGGGAGGGGCGGCACGTCTTGATACATTGCATGGCTGGGAGGCATCGGGGTGGATCCACAGCCGTGACTTGCAGGGCAATCTTGATGGGAGAGTCCCTTCGGGATGCCGAGGAGCATGTCAGGGCCCTCCGCGACATAGAGCTACACAAGGTTCGCTGGCAGAACCGTCTATTGCGGAGTGGATGGAGAAGGCGGTGCGAAGGACCAACTTGGGAGCGGCGCCGCCGGTGCCGGTAGCCTACGTTGCGTCCAGGAACTCGTTGCTCCACCTGGAGACTGAAGGGGGAGTGACCCTCTGTCAGCATCGCCAAGTTGCGGGCGCTCGCAGCTTAGTATCCCCGATGCGCACTTCGGACAAGTTCGAAGCCTTTGCATGGCAGAAAGAGCAGTGCAGAGGTTGTTTCAGTCTGGCCGGAGCCCGATGGCAGTCTCCATGATCGGGTGAACGGCCCAAAGTGTATTGCCCTCAATGAGCTAGCGTGACCTACGAATCAGAGCTTGCTGGCCTGCACATGTGTGCCTCAGTTTTGCGTCGGGCATAAGTCCTCGGATCGGCCCGTCGCCGCCTTGCCAGCTTTTCGTACTTTAGTCCCTGCGTCACGCAAGCATAGAAGAGAAAAGACCGCGCGTCTAGACAGCTTCTGTGATGCCTGCCAGAGCACGCCACACAGGGAATGCACTGCTGTTGTTTGCATGCTTGTTGTTTCCATGTGAGTATTGCGCATGAGAGATTGCATGCATTTGCGAGTGCGTGGCAGGCACCCGTGCTGTTTTTACATGTGGCATTTTGGCTTGGATGAGGTACATTCGAGCAAGCCGGGAGGGACCCGGCGAGCGTGCTCCAGGTGGGACCCGGAGAGAAGCTCATAGGGCATAGGCCTCCAAGAGTGACTTGGTGATGGCCCAGTCTTTGGTCCCGCGTGACGGGGGAGATTTCAAGGCTGCCCTTGCCACTTTAGCTACCA